CTAATAGATATGAAACCCTGTTGCATCTTCAAAGTGATTGTATTATAATTGAGCAGGATGAAACAGATTGGGGACTATAGGGAGTTTGATACAGACAGACAAACCCCAACTAGCTCCAGAGAAGTGATATGGATCATCCACGGGCAGCAAGAGGTGACCCAAATCAATTATTCAGCGTTCAATTCAGTAAATATTTATTTAAAGCCTATTATATCATAGTACCATTCTGGAAACTGGGGTTTAGTAAAGCAAGTAATCAAAGTATCTAACTTTATACAGCTTACATTTCAGTTAAGGGAGTCAGGAATAGACTAATATACAAGACATTAGTTGGTGATAAATGCTTTAGAGAAAAATAAGTCCAAGTAAAGCTGATAGGGAGTGCCAGGAAGTAGCAAAGAACTGGTTCATTTATGATACGAAAGTTTTAGTAATAAGGTCACATTTTTAGAGTCCTGTGTTAGTCAGCTTTTCAATGCTGTTACCAAAACACCTGACACAAGCAACTTACAGAAGGAATGATTTATTTTGGCTCACAGTTTCGGAGGTTTTAGCCAATGGTCAGCTGGCTCCATCACTTTGGGTCTACATTAAGGTAGAAGGGCATGGTAAAGGAAAAGTGCTCATCTCATTGCAACTGGAAAGGAGGGAGGAAAGGAATGGGCCAGGGAGCAGATACGCCTTTCCAGATCATGTCCCCAGCAACCTACTTCCTCCAAATAGGCCCTACGTCCTACAGTTTCCGCTGCCTTCCAATAATCCCTTCAAATTATTGATCAAATTATTGATCAATTCAATTATTGATCAATGATTATTCCACCAATGAGGTTAGAATCCTAATGGTCCAGTCATCGCCCAAAAGTCCCACCTCTGAACCTTGCTGCATTGGGGAACATGCTTTCAAGTATATGAATTTGGGGGAGACATTTCAGATCCAATTAATAACAACTCCTGAAGAAAGTCAAGGAGCTAGCAATAATTTAAGGGGCAAGTATTTCAGTTAGAAGGAAAAGTACAAAGATCATTAAACACTAAGGCACTTGGCAATTCTGAAAAATAACGGAGAGGGTAATGAGCTCAGAGTGGAATGGCCAAATGGGAGGGTACTAAGAGATAAAGTTAGAGGTGTCTTAGTGAGGGGAGGGCTGAATATGTAGAACTTAGAGGCTATTGTACACTTTGAAAATCTTTTCATTTAGCTCTTTTCCTTTGTTAGTGGATAGCCATTGATGGACTGTGACCAGAGGATATTTGGCAGAGCAGTTCGAGAAAACTGTCCTGGCAGTAGTCATTCCATCTCAGCAGCAGGAGGGAGTCCAGATGCAAAGTTGGATTCTTTTTCCTGTCTGCAAGTACCAATGAATGAGTTACTAGATTTGTGTTCCTTGTCTCAATTAAGAGCCTTATCCGTGTAATACTAGTCAGAACTTAAGGTTTGTTACAGTCTCAACTCACATCCCTATAGCAAGTGAAACACTAAATTCAATGAACTTTATCACCTAAATATTTTTTCAAATATGTTCTCTCTTCATCCTCACTGTCTCTGAATCATTTATGTACTTACCATTTCTTCTCTGAGCTATAGAATAGCCTATTTCTTTTTTAAAATTAATTAATTTATCCTAATTAGGTATATATGACAACAGAATGCATTTTGATTCATTGTACACAACTGCAGCATAACTTTTCATTTCTCTGATTTTACACAATGTAGTGTCTCATGATATGTGCAGTCACACATGTACCTAGGGTAGCAATGTCCATTTCATTCCACTATCTTTCCTGCCGTTGCCATGCCCATGTACCCTCCTCCTCTCTCCCTCCCCTTTGCCCAATCACAGTTCCTCCATTTTTCCCATCCGCCTCACCCACGTCATAGGTCAGCATCCCCTTATCAGAGAGAACATTCAGCCTTAGGTTTTGGGGGGATTGGCTTACTTCTCTTAGCATGATATTCTCCAACTCCACCCATATACCTGCAAATGCCATAATTTTATTCTCTTTTAATCCTGAGTAATATTCCATTGTGTATATATGCCATGATTTCTTTATCTATTCATATATTGAAGGGCATCTAGGTTGGTTCCACAGTTTAGCTATTGTAAATTGAGTTGCTGTAACATTAATGTAGCTGCATTTCTATAACATGCTGACTTTAAGTCCTTTGGGTACAAACCAAGGAGGGGATAGCTGAGTCAAATGGTGATTCCGTTCCAAGTTTTCTAAGGAATATCCATACTCCTTTCCAGTGTGGTTTCACCAATTTGCAGTGTGTGAGTGTGCGTTTTCCCTCACATCCTCACCAACACTTATTGTTGCTCTTGATAATTGCCATTCTGATTGGAGTGAGATGAAATCGCAGAGTAGTTTTGATTTGCATTTACTAGAGGCGTTGAACATTTTTTCATATATTTTGTTGATCACTTGTATATCTTCTGAGAAGTGTCTGTTAAGTTCCTTAGCCCATTTATTGATTGGGTTATTTGGGTTTTTGGTATTAAGTTTTTTGAGTTCTCTATATATCCTGAAGATTAGTGCTTATCTGGCATGCGTGTGTCAAAAATTTGCTCCTAAAATGTAGGCTTTCTCTTCACCTCATTGATTGTTTCTTTTGCTGAGGATAAGCTTTTTAGTTTGAATTCTTGATTTTATTTCTTGCACTTTAGGAGGCTTATTAAGGAAATTAGGGACAAATACAATGTGATGGAGATTGGGCCTACATTTTCTTCAATTAGGCACAGGGTCTATGGTCTAATTCCTAGGTCCTTGATCCACTTTGAGTTGAGTTTTGTGCATGGTGAGAGATAGGGGTTTAGTTTCATTTTGCTACATAGGGCTTTTTTATTTTTCTAGCACCATTTGTTGAAGAGGCTATCTTTTTCTCTAATCGATGTTTTTGGCATCTTTGTCTATTATGAGATAACTGTATTTATGTGGGGTTTTTCTTTGTGTCTTCTAGAATAGTCTTTCTTATTTCCTAGACCTTTGTTCAGTTATATATAATTCACCCTATCCATGCTTTTAAAATTATAGGTCACAATCTATTAATTTACCATGAAGATTTTGGAAATGAAATAACCATTATCACAACATTTAGTCAGCACTATATTGGAGGTTCTAGCCAGTGTGAGAAGGGCAAGAAAAAGAAATAAAACATACAAAAACTTTGGAAGGAAAGAAGTACATTCATCATTATATTCAGGAAACAATATTGAATATGTAGAAAATCCTAAAAAATTTCACGAATTATTAACATTAATAAGTAATTTTGCAAAGCTATTGAATTTAAAGTCCACAGAAAGTTAACAAGTGAAATTTTAAAGCAATATCATTTACATTAGCAAGAAAATATTAAAAACAGATAAATCTAATTAAAGATGTAAAAGACTTCCCTGAAAACTTAAAAACTTTCCTGAGAGAAACTTTTAAAGATCTAAATAAATAGAGATATGCAGATTACATTTGTGTGTTAAAATATTTATAACTATTAAGGTTAGCTCTCCCAAATATATTCTGAAGATTCAAGGTAATTCCAACCTCAAAACCCCAATAGGGTTTTTATGGAAACAGATTCTCATTCTAAAATTTGTTTAAAAATGTAAAACCCTATAATAACAAAGATAATCTTAAAGAACACAAACTTGGAGGACTTAAACTACATGATTTTAAGAACTCAAGGACCTGGGGATGAAACTCAGTGGTGTGCTTGCCTAACATGCACGATACTTTGAGTTCTATCCCTATCACTGTCAAAAAGAAAACAAAAAGATTTTAAACCAATAAAGCAATAGTAGTGAAGAGAATGTGGTATTGATAAAAAGATAAATAGAACAAATAAACTAGTAATTACTTCATAGGAGAATGCAGGTGTGTCTAGTATTAATAAGGAAGGGGAAGACAGTATTGAAGTGTTGGGCATGTTTTATGTCTTGATCCAGAGGTAAATGTATACATTACTGTTTGCATATATAACTTTATAACATGAGCTCTTTAAACTGAACTCTGGTTATGAACTCTGGCATAAGATGTTGTGTTCCGCCTCAAAAGAGTTTTTTTTTTAATAGGGTGAAATAGAAAACAGAGTGAATTATACATTGCAGGGGCAAATATTATACATTTGTAGATGTGCTTGTATGTCTGTACAAGATCCCCATGTAAAATTACCTTCTTACTAAGAGTCAGTCACTATTAAATGAGCTTAAAACAACACTGCTTTATATAGTTGCCAGAATGAACCTTCTAAAATACGATCTGATTATGTCACTCACCTACTTAGAATCTTTAACTGAGTTCTTTGATACATAATGCTTTGTGCAATCTAGCTCCTGTCTGTATTCCCACTCTTATCTCTCACTTTGCTTTAATGGTTCTCAGTATGCACTATACTTTCCACGGCTTCAGTCTTCATACTCTATATTTTTAACCTGAATTTGATCTCTTCCTCCCCATCCCTATCCTTCTTTACCAATCTTATTCCTGCCTGCTCTTCAAGTCTTATCTATAACATTACTACTCTGAAAGCTTTCCTGCATCTCAGCCACCACCATAATTCCTCTGCAAATTGAACTTAGCCATCCTTCCTTTGTAAATGTAGCATCTTCATGAGACCTCTCATTTCCCCATGGATATTAGCTGAAGTGCATATGTCTTCCATGTCATTGAAGACAGAAGCTGGGTCTCATCCAGCACATGTTTCCAGCACAAAGCACAATATTTGGCACAGAGTAAGCCCCTGGATTTTGAATTATATTGAAAATACTTTGTATTTCTGATATGAGATTTTAATATAATCAGTAAATTGAATTTTCCATGCATTATGTTACATGATTCTGTTTTTAAAATTAACCTGATACTTAAACACTTACTCTTCACAAAGAAAAAAAGAAATCCAAATAAATTCATGTTTTTTGACTTCCCTTTGTTTCTATGAGAATATGTCTATTGCAATTTGCTGTGTTGCCTATTACCTATTGAAAGTGGTGTTTGATTTTATACTTTAGCTTCCGAGTTCTGGTGATCTTTGGAGCATTCATGTGGACTTTGACACTAAACGGATGGATCCCTGGGAACGAATTATACCTACTTTCAAGTACAGCCGAGATATTCCGTTTTTTGAAATGCTTGTCCCCACAACAGACACAGTGCGCTTTGGGTATCTAATGGAAAAACTACTTGCAGTCAAACATTCAGTTTTGTTTACTGGAATAACTGGAGTTGGCAAGGTAGGAAACCTAACATCAAAAAAAGTTCTGTTCTAAACATTAAGGCATGGTGAACTTAAGAATTATTCTCACATTTCTCAGGGGAAATTTTTTTAAAATTTTGTTATGTTTTCAGGAAGTCTATGGCTGTACTAAATCTATACTGACCCTAGGAATTATTTCAGAGTTTGCCAGTTTCTGAATAAATCCTTGGGCTGATATTATGTAAACCATAGTAGATTTTCAGGCCAGAGTTTGTGTTTAGGGTCTTTATTATTCTATCTGTTGGTATTTGTGGGACTGCTACTGCACTGATTGGGTAAGAATTGTCCAGAATAGTTTTTGTCCTCAAAGCACTATTGATGAAATTCAGTTGGTTCCCTCTTGCCTGTTTACTTCTACCTGATATGACAATAACATTATTTTCATGTTTTTTTTAAGTAAGGTAATAGGAGGATTCTGATTGCTTGATCTTTATTTTGGAAGATTCCACATATGCGGTGGTTCATTATTTCCCATCTAAATTATTTCCAAAAGAAGTTTAACTCTTCCTGTAACTCTCATTGTCAAATTGTCTTGTATAATAACCAAGATGGCTTTGGGTAGGCAGCTAAAATAAGATTATTTTTCTGAGATAGAGCTGATTAGAATATTTTTTTGGTTTGGATTAGTATAACTAAATAATAGAGAACATTTCAATCTGGACTTAACTTCTCTCTTATATTATTTCTTACTCAGTGCACAGGATACTAATACAGGTTATTGAAAAATATGTTATGTTGAATGTGAGCTTAACAAACTGATTTTTTAAATCTAAAGACCGTTATTGCCAAAGGATTGCTAACTAGAATTCAGGAATCTGCTGGCTATGTCCCTGTTTATCTAAATTTTTCTGCCCAAACTTCATCTGCAAGGACACAAGAGATCATTGAATCAAAACTGGAAAAAAAAAGAAAAAATATTCTAGGTAAGAACTGTCATTTTAATTTATTCTATATAAACTACTCACTAAGCCAATAAATTATATAAACACCACAAATAGTAAAGGAAAATTGGATATTTTCTTACTTTATTTGTAAAGATGTGCCTTGGTGTGATTTTTGTTGCAACACTAAAATACCTGAGATTGGTTACTTTACAAAGAAGAGAGAGGTTTATTTAGCCCACAGTTATAGATGTCCAAGAGCATGAGGCCCTCATCAGCTTCTGGTGAGGGCCTCAAGGTGGACAGCATCACTTGGCAGAAACACATATGTGAGAGAGAGGTCACATGATGAGAGAGAAAGAAAGTGAACAAGAACTTACAACCCACTCTCATGGCGATCAATGAAGTCCCTTGAGAGCAAGAACTCACTCCCACAAGAAAACATAAATCCCTCATAAAGGTCTCAGTACTTCTAAACACTATTGGAGTCCAAGCCTCAACGTGAGTTTTGGTGGAGACAAAGCATATTTAAACCAAAGCAAGGTGATTCTATTAGTGATATTTTTCCTGTACCAGATATCTAGATATCTTTCTGTTATAAGCAAGCCATTTATTTCTACCATCCCCTTAAAATCAGAACATCTTCAGTCTTTGCTTCTTCATGGCTCTCACTCGATCCACCCAGGCTTGAATTGATTTCCCTTTATTTAAAATCAACAACTCTGATTTTACCTAGCACACTGAGTTTCTGAACTCAGTGGGGAGTAAACATGAAACTATTTGGGTTTTTGCATCAGTCAGCATTTTAAGTCAGGGATCTCCTTTACCCACCCTTATTAATTATTTAAGATAAATAGCTCTGGTCACCTTCAGATGTTTTGAGTCTGGGCCAATGTAAAACTTCAATCCCCAAACCTAATTTGAAGTTCACCTTATCTTCTGTCATAAGCCAGCTTTGTGGTTCCAGGTACTGGAGATAGAGGGGGAAATGGGATACTCTTTACCTCCATCCCACGCCCATTCCACATAGGAAAAACTGATATGTTGGGATGGGAAAAGAAGAAAGGACAAGTGTCTTCCCCCTGACTGATAGTTAAATAGGCATGTGGGCATGTAGATGATCCCTGCTTCTCTGGCTGGTGCTGAATGACTGCCCAACCTGTCTGAGAGGCACTTTCAGGATTAGGCTCTTGTGAGGGACTCCTATAAGGTCTGTCCTCATTTTAGGCATTAAGCCTCCCCTTTGGAAGATTCCCTGAGGTTGGGAATCAGGGTCTCAACCTTCATTCAGTTTCATCCTCCAGCCTCTTGCTGCTAGAGTTCACCTGCCCAACCTACAGCCCTTCTGGGTGGGTTACCAGTCAGAACTCAGGCCCAGCTGCTTTGTACAGTGTACAGCATCTAATAGGAGCTGTTATGCCAAACACTGGAGTTGCTTACTGCCTCACAGCTTTCTTTTACCTGCTCAGTTAGACACAGGACATTGGTCTATTTTCTGATGAGGGATCCAGATTTTTAAAAATGATTCCCTTACATCCTTTCCAAATCCTGGTTCATGCTTCTCAGCTTTCAGGAACCAGAGGATAGAGTAAAATTCTGAGTTATTCTCAGTTACCTTGGAATTACCATCCAACATTAATACCAACCAAAGAGAAATGGCTATTTGTCCTTTAGTCTTAAGCACTGGGTACCGAATAGGTGAAGTCACCTCCTATTCTTCAGTTGCTACTTTTTCTCTGCTATCACTAATTATTTTTTCTGATGAGTATATGTATTGGTTTTCTTTAAATGTGGCATTGTGTATATCCACAATCCTGGATTTCGCTTTGATTTCCCTTTGATGCAATGGGAATGCTTTTGAATTTTGAACTGTTTTCCATGTGAGGGTGATGAGATGGCATTTTTGAAAGAGAACCTTTAGCTTTCCACACCCATGCCCTGGCCCCATAATTAGTGAGGGCACTGATGTGCTGAGACTTGAGAATGGTCCAGACCTCACTAGAGAGCTACCAGTATTATGGGCTCTGAGAGTAAGGGTGAGGAACAACCTGACATAACAATGTGGGCCTCGGAGCCAGATGTACATCTAGCTGAAGGGCCTGTATGGGGACAGAAGGAGATATGTCTCCTTGGAGTGGGACTCTGCTAGGTCTCTCCTCACTCTTGAGAAAAGAATTAAACTCAGTATGACTCGCAAGTCAGTATGACTCTCATTGAGTGCAAAGCCATACCTATGCTTTCTTTCTTTTTTTTTAGTCCATTATCATAACAGAATATCTGAGACTGACAAATTTATAAAGAGAAAGGTTTTTTAGCTCCAAGTCTTGGAAGTTCAGGAGCGTGGTGCTGGCAGCTGCTCAGCTTCTGGTGAGGGCCTCATACAGGTCAATTCTTGGCAGAAAGCAAAAGAGCAATCAAGCACATGCAAAAGATAGAAAAGAGGGCCAACCTCCTATAATATAAACCCATTTATATAATAAAAACATTAATCCATTCCTGAGGGAAGATCCTTCATGACCTCAGATGCCTCTTAAAGGCTTCATCACCTCTTAACATCATGTTATCAGTATATTAGGAACAAAGCCACAACATGAGTTTGGGTGGGAACAAACCACAGTAGTTTTGTTCTGTACTTTCTAAGAAAAAAAAAATTTAATTACAAAATTGAATTTGTTTTTCCAGGGGCACCAGGAAATAAGCAAGTTATAATTTTTGTTGACGACTTAAATATGCCTAGACTGGATCGCTATGGCTCTCAGCCTCCCATTGAATTACTTCGCCAGTATCAAGATTTTGGTGGATTTTATGACAGAAACAAACTCTTTTGGAAAGATATACAGGTTAGTTTAGGTTTTAAATCGTTACTTAATGTGTTCAAATTTAAATGGCAAGGAAATATGTGGTACATTAATTTTATGTAATTGCCATAACAGACCATAGACTGGGTAGTATAAACAACCTATTTTCTCATAATTCTGAAGACTGGAAGTCCAAAGTCAAGGTATCAGCAGGATCAATTTCTTCTGAAACCTCCATCCTTAACTAGTAGATGGCCAACTTCCCCCTGTGTCTTTCCATGGGTATATTAATTTGCTTTCTGTTGCTTATAACAATACCACAGATTGGGTAAGTTCTAAAGAAAAGAGGTTTATTTTGGCTCATGGCTCTGATTCAGAAGTAAGGGGCCATATCTAGTGATGGCCTTCTTAATGGCAGAGTTCTGGGACAATGCAGGGCATTGCTTTAGCATGACACAGGGAATACATGTGTGTGTGTCATCTCTCTTCCCCCTCTTCTTATAAAGCCACAAATATTCAATCATGTGGGCTCCACCCTTTGACATTATCTGCTTCTAATCACCTCCCAAAAGGCCCACATCTAAACATCATAGTTAGATTGAATTTCTGCCCTCTTAATTCCTTATAGTGGGGGAATACTTCCAACATGAGTTTTGGTAGAAAAAGACAATATTCAAACCATTTCATTTCTTGTCTGGCCCCTGAAACTCAAGTCCTTCTTATATACACCATACTAATAATTCATTCCACCCAAAAAATCCCAGAACCTTAATTCATTCCAGCATTAATCACAAGCCCAAATTCTCATCTGAGATTCAATGCAAACTGCTTCCAGCTGTGAGTCTGTAAAACCAAAGCTGTCTACAAAGGTGGGATAGGCACACAGTATACATTTCCATTCTGAAAGGAAGGAGTAATCAGTCCAAAGCAAGTCTGAAACCTAGCCAGGGCTGGCATTAAATCTTACTGCTTCAATTCTGGCATCCTGTGTATACCATGGGGCTGCAAAGCCTCAGGAAGCCCCAGCTACACAATTTGCTGGTTTTGTCCCACATAGTTGCTTTCTTGGGCTGCAAGTTGATGGCCACAGCTTACCTAAGCTGGTATTGCACACTGCTCGTAGCTAGTCACTTCCTGGTGTCTCAGCTGAGGCTCCACTCCCATGGCTTCATTAAGCATTGCTCCACTGGCAACTCTCTGTGGTGGCTCCCCTCACAGCACACTTTTGCCTGGCTTCCCTGACTTTCTTTGACATCTTGGTGGAAGCTGCCATGACCCCATCACTCTTTCATTCTGTGCACAAGCACTGTGTGAATGCTGCCAAGGTCTGCCATGTGCTAAGCAGTGTCTAGGCCTACTTGAATCATAGCCACAGTCTCTGTGGGGTGCTTTTCTGGAAAACAAGGAACATAATCCTGTAGAGTCCCTGAGCAGCCCATGAATAGTACCCCGGGCTCCTACTTCAACCAAGTCTAGAAAGCTTCTAGGCTTGTGATGGGAGAGGCAGCCCTGTAGACTTCTGAGATGTTTTCTAGGCCTTTTTCTCATCTCTTTTTTTTTTTATTGGTTGTTCAAAACATTACAAAGCTCATGATATATCATCTTTCATACATTTGACTTAATTGGGTTATGAACTCCCATTTTTACCCCAAATACAAATTGCAGAATCACATTGGTTACACACTCACATTTTTACATAATGGCATATTAGTGACTGTTGTATTCTGCTACCTTTCCTTTCCCCTACTATCCCCCCTCCCCTCCCCTCCCATCATCCCTCTCTACCTCATCTGCTGTTGTTCAATTCTCTCCCTTGTTCCCCCCCCCCCTTCCCCTCACATCCTCTTCTATGTAATTTTGTGTAACATTGAGGGTCTCCTACCATTTCCATATGCTTTCCCTTCTCTCTCCCTTTCTCTCCCCCGACTCGTCTTTGTTTAATGTTAAACTTTTCCTCATGCTCTTCCTCCCTGTTCTGTTCTTAGTTGCTCTCTTTATATCAAAGAAGATATTTGGCATTTGTTTTTTAAGGATTGGCTAGCTTCGCTTAGCATAATCTGCTCTAATGCCATCCATTTCCCTGCAAATTCTATGATTTTGTCATTTTTTATTGCTGCATAGTACTCCATTGTGTATAGATGCCACATTTTTTTTATCCATTCATCTATTGAAGGGCATCTAGGTTGGTTCCACAGTCTAGCTATTGTGAATTGTGCCGCTATGATCATTGATGTGGCAGTATCCCTATAGTACGCTCTTTTAAGATCCTCAGGGAATAGTCCGAGGAGGGCGATAGCTGGGTCAAATGGTGGATCCATTCCCAGCTTTCCCAGGTATCTCCATACTGCTTTCCAAATTGGCCTTACCAATTTGCAGTCCCACCAGCAGTGTACAAGCGTACCCTTTTCCCCACATCCTCGCCAACACTTATTGTTGTTTGACTTCATAATGGCTGCCAATCTTACTGGAGTGAGATGGTATCTTAGGGTGGTTTTGATTTGCATTTCTCTGACTGCTAGAGATGGTGAGCATTTTTTCATGTACCTGTTGATTGATTGTATGTCCTCCTCTGTGAAGTGTCTGTTCAGGTCCTTGGCCCATTTGTTGATTGGGTTATTCGTTTTCTTATTGTTTAATTTTTTGAGTTCTTTGTATACTCTGGATATTAGGGCTCTATCTGAAGTGTGAGGAGTAAAGATTTGCTCCCAGGATGTAGGCTCCCTATTTACCTCTCTTATTGTTTCTTTTGCTGAGAAAAAAACTTTTTAGATTGAGTAAGTCCCATTTGTTGATTCTAGTTATTAACTCTTGTGCTATGGGTGTCCTATTGAGGAATTTGGAGCCCGACCCCACAGTATGTAGATCGTAGCCAACTTTTTCTTCTATCAGATGCCGTGTCTCTGATTTGATATCTAGCTCCTTGATCCATTTTGAGTTAACTTTTGTGCATGGCGAGAGAAAGGGATTCAGTTTCATTTTGTTGCAAATGGATTTCCAATTTTCCCAGCACCATTTGTTGAAGATGCTATCCTTCCTCCATTGCATGCTTTTAGCCCCTTAAGAAAGTTGTGATTTTGTGGATTGGTTTCTGTGTCCTCTATTCTGTACCATTGGTCCACCTGCCTGTTTTGGTACCAGTACCACGCTGTTTTTGTTACTATTGCTTTGTAGTACAGTTTGAACTCTGGTATCGCTATACCTCCAGATTCACACTTCCTGCTTAGAATTGCTTTTGCTATTCTGGGTCTTTTGTTTTTCCATATGAATTTCATGATTGCTTTATCTATTTCTACAAGAAATGCCATTGGGATTTTAATTGGCATCGCATTGAACCTGTAAAGAACTTTGGGTAATATCGCCATTTTGATGATGTTAGTTCTGCCTATCCATGAACAGGGTACATTTTTCCATCTTCTAAGATCTTCTTCTATCTCTCTCTTTAGGATTCTGTAGTTTTCATTGTATAAATCTTTCACCTCTTTTGTTAGGTTGATTCCCAAGTATTTTATTTTCTTTGAGGATATTGTGAATGGAGTGGTTTTCCTCATTTCCATTTCAGAAGTTTTGTTGCTGATATACAGGAATGCCTTTGATTTATGCATGTTGATTTTATATCCTGCCACTTTGCTGAATTCATTTATTAACTCTAGCAGTTTCTTTGTAGACCCTTTTGGGTCTGTTAAATATATTATCATGTCATCCGCAAATAGCGATAATTTAAGTTCTTCTTTTCCTATATTTATGCCTTTAATTTCTTTTGTCTGTCTAATTGCTCTGGCTAGTATTTCAAGAACTAAATTGAATAGAAGTGGTGATAGAGGGCATCCCTGTCTTGGTCCAGATTTTAGAGGGAATGCCTTCAGTTTTTCTCCATTTAGGATGATGCTAGCCTGAGGTTTAGCATATATAGCTTTTACAATGTTGAGGTAAGTTCCTGTTATCCCTAGTTTTTCTAGTGTTTTGAACATAAAGGGATGCTGTACTTTGTCAAATGCTTTTTCTGCATCTATCGAGATGATCATATGGTTCTTGTCTTTAAGTCTATTGATGTGGTGAATAGTATTTATTGATTTCCGTATATTGAACCAGCCTTGCATCCCGGGGATGAATCCTACTTGATCATGGTGCACAATTTTTTTGATATGCTTTTGTATTCGATTCGCCAGGATTTTATTGAGAATTTTTGCATCCAAGTTCATTAGAGATATTGGTCTGTAGTTTTCTTTCTTTGTAGTGTCTTTGTCTGGTTTCGGGATCAGGGTGATGTTGGCCTCATAGAATGAATTTGGAAGAGCTCCTTCTTTTTCTATTTCTTGAAATAGCTTGAAAATTATTGGTATTAATTCTTCTTTGAAGGCTATGTAAAACTCCACTGTATACCCATCCGGTCCAGGGCTTTTTTTGGTTGGTAGTCTTTTGATGGCTTCTTCAATTTCTTCCTTTGTTATTGGTCTGTTTAAATTGTGTGTGTCTTCCTGACTCAATCTGGGCAGATCGTATGACTTAAGAAATTTATCAAATCTTCACTATCTTCTATTTTATTGGAATATAGGTTTTCAAAATACTTTCTAATTATCTTCTGTATTTCTGTGGTGTCTGTTGTGATATTGCCTTTTTCATCCCGTATGTTAGTAATTTGAATTCTCTCTCTTCTTTTCTTCGTTAGCATGGCTAAGGGCCTGTCGATCTTATTTATTTTTTCAAAGAACCAACTTTTAGTTTTTTCAATGTTTTTTTTTGTTTCAATTTCGTTGATTTCTGCTCTAATTTTAATTATTTCTTGTCTTCTACTACATTTGCTGTTATTTTGCTCTTCCTTTTCTAGGTTTTTGAGGTGTAGTGTGAGTTCATTTATTTGTTGGTTTTTTTTCTTTTTTTGAGGAAAGAACTCCAAGAAATGAATTTCCCTC